TGGGGGGGGGGGGGGGGGGGGGGTAAGGAGTCAGGGTCTCCGACCAACGGGAACGGTATCGGACAGCATGATAGCCACATCATCGAAAAATAGACGGTGGGACGTGTGGGGACACGCCGTTGCTCGAAGGCTATTCTGGAGCCCACCCCGCCGATCAATTTTTTCGTGTTGCTTGTGGTACTGAATAGATTGAACTAGAAATGTGCATTAACAGAGAGGTAAAACCGGAACGGTGCCAGGAAAACTGGCCCATATCACTAATCGAGGGGCCACGCGAACAACAAAAACAATTTGAAATGCTCGTGTCGGATATGTGCGTTTTCTCGCAATGGGATGGCAGGGAATATTGCACACCATCATTCGCATAGAGTGAATGTAGTCACACCCTGAAATAAAAGCGAAAGGCGGGTTCAGAAATAGTTTCTTCCAAATGCCAGCGTGAGGTCTTGTGCTTGGACCTTCGGGCCACTGCTGTGCTTCAAAAGAAAAGTATGTATTCCTCAGGAAACAAAAGCAAGGTGCCTTTGGTCCACCAGGCAAGCACCGAGACTAGGCCGTACCTCCATGTGTTGCACCGTCTGCGCCAGTGATCCGGCCAGCTTTGCCAACGTGGGCATGCCTGCCTTGGCGCCGTGGGAGAGGGATGCCCTTCCCGACACCCCCGCGTAGTACCTGCGAATGAGAAGAAAGCAGGGGGGGGGGGGGGTACTCAATAATCGTGCATGCCGTAATCGGAAACCATTGACCTCGCGGGGGGGGGGAAGGGAGAAGTGAACAAGAGCTCTCTCGTGACACGAAAACCGCACAGGAAGAAAAGAGGAACGGCTGCCGCTTGCTGCTTGTTCGATCGGATAGCACAGCATTGTGGCCAGCTATCACGGCAGGTCAAGAGAGGATGGTTTCGGTGCTTTGTGTGGTTTTCCAACGGCGAGAGTGTACCAGGGAGAGTGGAGGCTTGGCAAGTCATAGTGGCAGCAGGAACAGATGTACCCCAACCTGAACACATCACCACCCTCGCTTGTGGGGAACCAACCACGAAACATGCGCCCCAAAAACAAATTCCGGTACCCTTGGAGGCAACGGGTGGCGGCAAGCTCCCAGCCCGGACGTTTAAAAAAAAAAAAGCGTTTGGTGCGTGCGCAAGCAAGGAAACAATGCCAATACTCTCACCCGAGACCTGTTCCAACCCTTGCCGTGTGGCCACTCCTCACCTGCCCAAGCTCGTCACCGACTCCACGATGCGGTCCATCTTCGGCCTGTAACCTTCGACCCCCTCTCCGCTCCCGCCGCCGGTAGCCCCCTTCAAGACCTCCAGGGCCTCCTCCGACATGATCAAAGGAGGGTCTCTGGAGATGGCGATTATCGCGTCAAGGGTAGCGGCTCCGAGTTTCCCAGCCTGCTGCGTGACATCGCCGGGGGGTGCTTTAACGCCGTTTACTGCAGGTCCTTGCTGAGGTAAGCCAAGCGGTGGAGAATCTGCGTCGATGGCGGCGGCGGCGGTGGTGTTGTTGTCGGTGTTGGCAGGAACTCTTCCGGCTGCCGGCGCGTGAGACGGGAGGGGGCTCTCGCTGCCGCCGTTGTTGCTGGCGGGGGCGCCGGCAGCAAGAGCGGCAGCCCTTCCGACATCTCCGTCACCACCGACACCTCTAACAGCAGCAGCAGCAGCAGCATGTAGAGTATCGTCCAAGTTCTTGACCACCAGGTGGGTGGTGGACTTCTCGGCTGCTCGCTCCAGCGCCTTGGCCGCCGCCCGTGCGCGTGCAACCGCCCTTCCCCGCTTCCTCTGCTGCCGCTGCCGCTGCTGCTGCTGTCGGAGCGAAACGTCGACAGCCCCATCAACCCCCCCACCGTCGGCCCCTTCCCCCGTCCCCCCGGCCAACACGCCTGCTTCCTCCCACCCTCCTGACGCCCACAAACGACGATCGCGGCAAACTTCGAGATGCCCCGCAGAATGCGATGCCAGACACTCAGCGCGCGGAGTCCGAGCGCTTTCCGTGTTCGGCAAGGGGGCGGTGTTAGAGCTCGCCGCCTCTGTTCCTACTGCTGCTGCTCCTCCTCCTACGGTTGCTCCTACGGTTGCCAATGCTGCTGCTCCCGTTCCTGATGTCAACGCTTCTATTCTCGCTGCTGTTTCTTCCTCGGGTGTGGAAGCTGACGCAGATGCTATTGCTGCTGCTGCTGCCGCTGTCGCCGCTGGAGACATGACACTCGAGGCCAAGTGGGTGCGGAGGAGCATCGGGCACAAGACCGTCTCCGTGTGAACCACTTCGCCGTTTTCGTCTCTCACCTCTCGCTCCACATGAGCGTTTCGGAACCACCTGGCCGAGCAGAAATGAAAAACACAAGAGACGAGACGACTTGGGTTAGTCGTGGGTGAAAGGCACAACAGGCAAGAAAACGAGTGCGGATGGCAGGCGCAACACCCAACGAAGCAGGAGGGTCGAGTTCCACCCACAAGTTTCAGGTCCACACCTATCGTAGGGTGCATAGGACGCCACCACTCCCAGGGACCAATCTCCAAGGCTCCATCACCCCCACGACCAAGAGGATGCCACAAATGGAATGATCCGTTTTCGGAAAGCTCTCGACGAGACGGTTCTAACACCGCCACCGTCACTTGGTTTCGCTGCGGAGCAACCAAGCTATTTCGATCCAGGGGGTGTGGTATGTCGTTCCCCCTGGCTCTAGCGTGTCGTCTTTCGACCAGCTTGAAAAAATGCGTGCCTCGCCGCACGGTCTTAAGCAGGTTCGCCCGCCCTTTCGCCGCAACGGCCGTGTCTGAACCCGACCACCACACGGACACCACGATGCGATGCCGGAAGCCCAGTAAGTGTACAAGGTCGAACGATTGCGGACACATGAGACGATGAAACACCGCCCCCTTTTCGCACCATCCACGAAAAACCCCTAAATCTACATCTCAAATGACTCTCTGGTACTAGGTTTAGCTATGCTTTCTAATTGATGTCATCCTGACACATGAAGAATATCTGACATTTTCAAATGACGCACTCTGGTACGAGCTTGATTTAAGCTTTTTACTGTGTTATGCCATCCTGACACGCTAGAACAATCTGATATATTTCATTATGGCCAATCTCCTGTACTACTGTTGGTTGTTGACGAAGCCTCACCGGAAGTCACTCGGACTCGTCTTCCTCCCGACGATGAGACCAACCCACGCACCCGAGGAGCCCTCGCCATTCTCGTCCTTCTGCTTTGCGTATGCATAGCATACAAGAAGGACACAAACACCGAAACAACGGGTTGGCGTTACGTACAACATCACAGCGAGTAAAAATCGGATTTAACACAAGCCGTGGGTAGGGTTGACAATATTATGTGCCACCGCGAGAAAAACTCCGACTCAACACGAACGGAGGGTAGGTACCGCAACATACACCCAAGTGGGGCGATTGATTTGAAACGTGTAACAGTGGCCGTTCGGTCCGTCCGAAACGCAAGGATTAAGTGAAGGAGACAAATTGCGCGCGGGCGACGCTTATTCAGTGCGTTCGACAAACAAACATAAGATCCGACATCAGCAAGAAACACACTTTCGGCCAAGAACAAAAACACCCCTCGAAGTGCCACTACATTCTCTATGCTTCTGTGCACTCCCTTGGCGAACGATCCTAGGCGGGAAGGGGCAACGGATTCTCCAAGGTCAGACGACCGCGGGTACACTCATCTGTCGGACAAGGACAAGTTACACCCATCCTTCGACAGGACCAACAAAAACAATTGGCTGCGCTATTGTACCGCGCCTCCGGACTGTTTTTTTTTCCAACTCAAAATGAGTTACACGTTTTGACTAACCGCTTTTTTGAGCTCAAAGTCGGGTTAGAACCGCGGTTGAGACTCAACGATTCTGAGCCGTCGATGGAAGAAAGGATGGCATGGAAAAATAAATCGATGGTTGAGACGTTGATTACTTGCTGGACACGTACAATTGGGTGCACCTCAACAACAAAAACACAACACAACAGAGGCCAAAACATAACATGAGCCGATTGCTCCAAAGCGTGGGTATTCGCGACTATGACGACAGGCCAGGCCATGCCATCATGTGGCAAGAACGGAACCAAATACCTCTGCCAAAAAAATGCCAAAAAACGAAACAAAATAGAAAAAAGTATGGATCTTTCGAGACAGCCGGCCCCCACAAGACCAGACAGACGCTAGTCGACGGACCCCCCCCCCCCCCCCCCCCCCCCCCCCCCCTT